ACTTTGACTGTACAGTTATGGTTTAGGGATTTGGTCCCTAACCTGGATGTGATGTGTATCTGTTATGTATATATGTTTTGGTTTAAATATGGCTTGTTCATGAAAGTCTTTTTGCATTCAGATTTTCACAGCTCATTGGACATCTCTTATCTACTGTTTGGCTTCCGCCAGCCCCTTACTCTGTACTATTGTTGTTACTGTTAAGCAGGCCTTTGGTAATCACGGATTACTGGCCAGTTACGATGCTAAACCCCTAGGGGCGGGTTTGGGTCATGACACTATACTTATTACTGAATTAAATTCCACTTGGCTTCGTTTGGGAACCAGCCCATTTAGCCAAAAAGTCAAAAAGTTATTAAAAAAGCTGAAAAGCCAATAATCCATACCAAAAAATCAAAGATTCTCTTTTCTCTCTACTCTTTACACATCTTTTTGTAAAAAGTCAAAAAGTCATCCCAAACATATTAGTTGTTTTTAGTTCATATTTTAGCCAAATAGCCAAAAAGTTACTAAATTAGCACGTTCCCAAACGAGGCCTTAATTTACTACTCAATAATCTTCCACTTATTACTTCACTTACTAGTTAATGAGTTTTCATTTACTATTTTATTAGACTTTACTTACTACTCAATTAAATTTTATTTTGGCTACTCTATAAAACTTGATTTATTATTCAATTAAATTCCACTTATTACTCTATCAAATTTTACTTACTATTCAAACAAACACCGATTGATATTTAATGAGATTTCATTTACTACTCAATGACACTCTAGTTACTACTCTATCAAACTTGACTTACTATTCAATCAAGCACCTCTTACTACTCAACGAGACTTAACTTACTACTCAATCAAACACCGCCTACTATCCTATGAGACTCTCCTTACTAATTCAAATCACACTTACTATCTAATGAGATTCTACTTACTATTTTATTAGACTTTGCTTACTATTCAATTAAACCTCATTTACTAGTCAATGAGACTCAGCTTACTATTCGTTGATACTCCACTTACTATTCCATCAAACTTGATTTATAACACAATCAAACATAACTATTACTCAATAAGACTTCATTACTATTGAGTGATACATAGAATTAAAAAAAAATTACAAGTAAAGTCACAATGAATGGTCAGTAATAAATATAACTATGAATTTTAAAATAGTAAACAAAATATAAAAATTTATTAGACTGGACTTAGTACTCAATAAGACACCACTTCATTTGACTTGATTTACTACTTAATTAAATCTCACTTGTTACTTAATGATTCGACTTGACTTACTACTAAATATACATCACTTACTATTTAATGAAACTCTACTTACTACTTCATTAGACTTTGCTTTACTACTAAATTAAACTCTACTTACTAGTTAGCAAGACTCTACTTACTACTCATTGATACTCTACTTACTACTCCATCAAACTTACTTACAACTCAATCATACATGAGTACTACTCAATAAGACCTTGTTACTATTGATTGGTAAGTAGGATGCGAACAAATTGTAAGTAGAGCCACAATAACTAGTAAGTAATAAATTAGAAACATCAAATAATGTTAAAATAAAACATAGATAGAGACATGGATAGATTCTTACCTTAAAAATTTATTGAGTTTGAAAAAATCAAAATCACCATATTTCACTTATCTTTTGTCAAAAAATTATAGAGAAAAACACTATTATTCATAGTATGTGCAAATGAATTGGGGGGTTTTCTATATTTTCTTAATTAACTAATTTATATGTATTCATTTATTGTCATTAATAAATGTTGTTCATGTTGTAGTAGGTAAAGGATAATATTTTTTGTAGATGTATTCATTTATAAACTATACTTCCTAATCATATGCTAGCTCAAGGCCAAGGAGTTGGTAAGGTACCAACACAAAAAAAACCAAACAAACAAACACCAATACAACTCATAACAAACCCACCACCAAGCAGCCACCGCCATCAGCCTATTGTATATTACAATCAAGAACTAAGCAATAAACCTAATCTGTTGAACATTATAGTGTGAGCTTTTACACAAAAAGTGATTCTAATCTTGATTAAATTTGACTTATTACTCAATTAAATACCATTTACTATTCAATAAAACTACCCTTACTACTTCATAGTAAGTAACTTTGACCTACTATTTAATGAGAATTCACTTACTATTTCATTAGATTTCATTTACTACTTAAGTTCCGTTTGTTTAGACATAAAATATTTTACACAAAAAAAATATTTTTCTTATAAATTAATTTTACACAGAAAAAATATTTTTGTTTTCGTTTTTCAGCATTTGGTTGATACTTGAAACAAAAATATTTTGTTATTTAAAAGAGAAATTTTTATTCGATATAGTGTCATTTATGACTTTTTAGTGACCTAACTAAGATATTTATTCGAAAAGATAATGAGTGAGAGTCAACTTTGTAAAAATTGATTTATGAAATTTTTAAAGATAAGTTATTTATTGAAAAATGATGCAAAAATATTTTCCTTAAACAATGTTTTACTTGCTTTTTGTTCAATCAAACAATGGAAAATGAGTAAAATATTTTTGATAAAAACATTTTATGTCAAAACAAACAAAGCCTTAATGAGATTCTACTTACTATTTTATTAGACTTGAGTTACTACTCAATGAGATTTCACTTACTGTTTCATTAAATTTGACAACTACTCAATAAGACTCTACTTACTATTGAATATTTTTCTTTAACTGCGTGAAATGCAATAAAGCACGAGTACCCAAAAAATGGAGCCATACGAGTACTGGGTACTTACCGGGTGTGGGTACACGTACTGGTACAACTGCACGCGTACCGGGTATGACAAAAGGGGGTCCAATACGTTTGGTTCAATCGAGTACATCGTGGGTACGGCATGGGTATGGCATTGGTACGTTTTGGGTATGCCAGGGCAACAAATCAAATTTGTAAGAGAATTAGGTGTACCAAAGCAATTTATTTATGTTCTTTATTAAAAAAACAAAAAAAATACAGTGTTATTTTGTAATATTAAGAATATATAACACCTAGGTTTTGTTCCTTCTTGCATCTCTTCACTTCAGCAACAGCAAAGAGAAACGGCGCAGTCTTCTTTAGCAACATCTTTTCACTTCGAAGCCCTTCGGCAACGACGACGCAACGAAAGAAAGCCCTTCGGTGAGTGTTTTTCATCTTCTTTTTTGTCTTCGTTTTCTTCTTCGTCTTCTTCTTCTTCTTCTTCTTCTTCTTTATTTTTACATTTTTTTTCCTACAAATCAGCAACTGGTCTTCATCTTCTTTGTTCCTTTCTTCGTCTTCCCTTCGATGAGTGCTTTTCATCTTTTTTTTTCTTTTTTTTTTCTTTTTTTTGTAACCCTACAGATCAGCAATTTTGTTCTGTTCTCTTTCATGGATATCAACGTTGTTCTCTTGAGCCTAATATTGATTTCATGTAAGACAATTCAATTTGTCTCTTAAATTCTCAGCTAAGCTTGCATTGATGGATGAGATTATTGATTTGTGTAAATGTAGTAGAGTATTATCTTGATTTTGACTTAATTCAAGTGTTTTTTTGTGTAATGTTAATTGTTGATGTTCTTCATCTGCTATCTTTATGAAATCGTTCTTTGGTCTCACCCTATAAAAATAGCAAATTGATGAGCAAAAAGAAAGATTTTAAAAATAAATTATGATCACAGTGCATAACATGTCAAAGTGAGAGATTTCACAAATATTATTTTTAATGCTTAATGGTTTTATATTATAGGAAAATGAGATCATCAACCAGTTTAGGTTCATCTGCAAGTGCTTTTTCTGCTCCTTCCATTGATCAATCTGGAGATGAAAATGCTCCTCTTCAGGGCTACATTACAAAATTAGCCAAAAAGGGGGAAGGATGAAGTGGTAATACAAAATTTAAGTGTAATTTTTGTAGCATTGAGTATCAAGGGTCATATTCTAGAGTTAGAGCCCATTTGTTGCTACTTACTAGCCATTGAATTAGAGTGTGTGCAATTGTGAAGGACAAGAGTGATCTTCTTTCTGAAATTCGAAGGGCAGATCAAGAAGCTGAGAACCGGAAAAAGATGGCAAAGCCTAAATGTTCCTTTACCACCTCCATCTTCTCAAATTAGTACTAGTCATGACGAGGTAGGAGATGTTGGAACATTTAGAATGGAAGGTTATGAACCAAGAAAGAGAAAGGCAATTGGCAGTAGTCTTTTGGATAAGGCATTCAATCAAAGTGCCCGAGAACATTTACATTCTTTAATTGCTCGTACGTTCTATCCAGCTGGTTTACCTTTCCATTTGGCTAGGAATCCATACTTTGTGGGTGCTTTTCAATATGCTGCTGAGAATCAAATTATTAGGTATGTCCCTCCTAGATATAATTTGTTGAGGACTACCTTACTTCAAAAAGAAAGGGCAAATATTGAAAGGTTATTGGAACCAACTAAAAGGTCATGGGATGAGAAGGGGTTGACTATAGTATCTGATGGATGGACTGATGCACAAAGGATGCCTCTTATTAATTTTATGGCAACATCTGATGGTGGAGCTATGTTTATAAGAGCTGTTAATTGTGAGGGTGAGACCAAGGACAAGTATCATATTACCAAATTAATTAGTGGCCCCTCATAATGTGATTCAAGTAATTATTGATGATGCTCCTATTTGTAGTGCAGCTGGATCAATCATTCAAGGTAATTATCCGAAGATCTTTTGGACACCTTGTGTAGTGCACACTCTTAATCTTGCTCTTAAGAACATTTCTGCTGCGAAGAAAATTGGAGTTGTTGCATATGCTTATGATGAATGCCATTAGATCACTACTGTGATTGATGATGTAATGTTTGTAAAAAATTTCATCAGAATCATTTTATGAGATTAGCTATTTTTAATGAGTTTGTACTTTTGAAGCTACTTTTGGCTGCAGATACACACTTTGCATCTGTAATTGTTATGCTAAAAAGGTTTAAACTAATATATCGTGGTCTCCAAGCAATGGTGATAAGTGAGAAATGGGCTTCCTACAGGGAAGATGATGTTGGGAAAGCAGCTGTTGTAAAGGAAAAGTTGTTGAATGATATTTGGTGGGACAAGATTGAATATGTACTCTCATTCACATTGCCTATTGACGAGATGCTCAGATTTTGTGACACCGATAAGCCATGTCTATATTTGGTTTATGAGATGTGGGATTCAATGATTGAACGGGTGAAGGCATCTATCTATAGGCGTGAAGGGAAGTCAAAAAATGAAGAATCGACCTTTTTCTCTGTAGTGCATCAAATATTAGTGGAAAGGTGAACAAAAAGTAGCACACCTCTTTATTGTCTTGTTCATTCTTTGAATCCAAGGTATAATTCACATTAGACTCATAGTTTATACTTTTATTTTTTTTTTCATTGCATAATTTACTTTTTTTTTTTTTCTAATTATGAAATCTAGGTATTATAGTGGAATGTGGCTTCATGAAAATCCCATTTGTGTTCCTCCTCACAAAGATGTTGAAATTTCTGAGATGAGAATTAAGTGTTTTAAGAGATATTTTCCTGATTCAGAGGAGAAAAGGGTTGTTAATACAGAGTATGCTAAGTTTTCAGGTTGTTTAGAAAGTTTTGGAGACTTTGACTCAATATGTGATAGAGGAGTAATGGAGCTAGTGGTTTGGTGGTTGGCATATGGCTCTTTTACACCTATGCTCCAATCCTTGGCAGTGAAATTACTTGGCCAACCATGTTCTTCATCATGTTGTGAAAGGAATATGAGCACCTACTCTTTCATTCACTCTATAAGGAGGAATAAAATGACACCACAATAGTGCGAGGATTTGATTTTTGTACACTCTACTATTTGCCTCTTATCAAGGAGGAGTTGACTATACACAGAAGGAGAGACCAAGTTATAGGACACTGGAGGAGATACATTTGATTCATTGGAGGGTTCTGGTTTCCTTGAAATTCAAATCTTTCACTTGATGAGCCAGAGATGAAAGTTGTTTTATTCAATGATTAAGTTGATGGAAGTGAACTTTGAAGAGTCAAGTTTAGATACATAAGGCTTTCTTTCTTTTGTTTTTCCTTTGCTTGCATTATGGACTGAAAGTTTATTTTGTAGTTCTCTTATGTAATGGCATTAAAACAACTCATGGATTTTGCTTTGGTGTTGGTATTGTTGAATTGAAATACGATTTGTCTTTTAGTTTTGATATTTAATTTTAATTTGTAGCTTGGATCCTTTAACCATAATTATAAAAAATAAAAAAATAATAATAAAATATTGGCTTACCACAGCCGTACTCGTATCATACTTTTTTTTAAGTTTTGCCGTATCGATGTACCCGCACCCGTACCCGCACTTGTGCTTCAGAGGTGAAATGTTATTACAACAAAACCTTAAATTTCATAAATGGAAAATGTCACTTAATGTTAAAATAAAATAGAGATAGAGACTAAATATGGAAAAAAAAAAAATTATATATATAATGTGTCATTAGCACAACTTTCAAGACATGAAAGGTGACCTTAATAACAGGTAATATTGTTGAATTGTGTTTTATTTATATTTAAATAGTAAGTTTATTTATAATAAGTAGTAAATGAGTTAATGATGAGTAGTAAGCATATTTGCAATAAATAGTAAGTCAGATCTATTTTTTCATTCCCAAATTAACTAAAACAACTTTAACTTTTGAAAAATCTCTTTAATTTCCTATCTGTTTTTAGTCATGACACATCTAATGGCTAGAATTTTATCCTATCCAAATCTAATGGTTCACATGTATTTAGGTACCATACATGAAAACAACTTTCATGTACCATAGATTTTTCCATTGCGCAAAAGCATGTCCTTATGGACAAAGTAATTCTAAGCGTGGATCTTTAAGCAATAAAAATTCAAAATTGGACTTTTGGCCTAAGCACCCTTATATAAATTATTTCTTATATATCTTTTATAAAATTATAATAATGTCTCTCTATTAAAAAAATTTCTTCTAATTACAAAGATCCGACTTTTTCCAAAAAGGGTCATTCTATAGTACTATACACTCCCCGAAGAGGGTGGCCATATACAAGTTATGATATTTCAAGGTATTGACACAAAAAATTGTTATAACCAAATTACTTTCAGTCATAACTAAAAATTTCACAACAAATTATAATTAAAATTACATCTTTGGTTATAACCTAAAAATAATTCTAATATATCATAATATCACAATAAATCATAACTAAAGAAACAGTCATGAAAAATTATAGCTAAGTTATAACCAACACCATAATGGATCACAAAATTTAACAACACAATATGTCATAATCAAAGATCACAAATATTACATTTATGATATGATAAATACTTTTTTTGTGATGTGATTTATAAATTTCCCTACTAAAATATATCATTTCTATCACAACTTATTTTCTTTTATAATTTTCAATTCCCGTATAATAGTTAGTCTCTAATATTTTTTATAAAATTCAACCTCAAATCGTTTAATTTAAAATTCACATTTATCGAAATGAATTCATAATTTTTTAAGTTTAATAATATTTTATTGTTGTATATTGTTAAAAAAAAAATAAATTAATTGTCATTACTTTATGCCCTTCTGCTGAATTTCTAGCTCCACCATTACTCCACGGTAGTTGAAATTATCCTTATTTATGAGGGTGAGGTGAATTGTAACACTTTTTTCTTGGCCCTTGTTATTAAGAATAATATTATATGCACTAATTAGAGGTTTTTAATATTTATAATGTAATTAACGAGTGAAGTAAATAATAATATCATAATTAGTGTTAATACACTAATTAGTAAACTAATTGATATATGTAACACCAGCGTGCTATTAAACATCAAGTTTGGGGTTATGATCACCTTAAAAAAGATTTGTGAAGAGGCTTTGACATTCTCTACTCTCTTAAGAAAATTTCTTGGAATTCTAAAGGCTTAAGATACAAAAATAAATACATATATATGGCCTTGGACCACTCAGTCGGACTGAGTCCAATCTTTTCTCCTTTCTTCTATAAGGCCACAATCATTCAAACCTCGTGCCGAATCTCACACTGATTTCATGACCAAATGCTCTATAAAAAAATGAACCACATTTTTAAAGCAATTTTGTTAGGATTGTCTAAAAAATCCGGTAAAACAGATCAAACCAATCCAAATATAATACACAACTTTTATTAGTTTCATTTCTTTTCCGGCTCTAAATCAATCCAATTTGCAGTTTTAAATTATAGTTCTGAATGAAATTGAACTATAATAGATTTATTCTTAATATTTTTGTATTTAAAAGAAATAAAAGGGCGCAGAAGCAGTTAGCAAGATTCTAATATTAATTTTAGGATAAATTACACAAATAATCCCTATCATTTCGATTTTTGTCATTTCAATTGGCTTTATTTTGGCCGTAAATTTTTTACTGTCTCAAATTGGTCTAATTGTTAGTTCTTTTTTTATTCTTATCACTACTAGAAAATTAACCTTTTGCGTCTAATTTTTTGCGACTGACTATTTAACCGTCGCAAAAAAAAAAAAAAAAAATTGCAACCGTAAAAAAGCCGGACACAAAATAATAAATGAATGAAAATAATCCGAAACTACGTTATCTTACTTTGCTCAATTTATTATCCCTATTTCTTTTATTTATTTTATATACCAATGCCCTAGCCCCTTTCACTCACGACATTCACAAATTGTCTCTCTCACTCTCTTGCTTGCCATAGTCGCAGCTCCAGTGGTATGAATCTCTGTCTCTCGGTCTCTCACTTTCTTCATCATGCTTTGTTCCTCTGATCTTCAATTTCATTTTCTAACTCGAAATTCAATTTTCTAAGTTGAATTTTCTCAAGAAATATGCAGCCTCTACGAGATTTGATCGCAAAACCTAGACCTCCACAGACACAAATTCCACGATTCAGCAATGTCGACGACAGTCAAATCAAGCGCAAAGAAACGAGTCTCCGAATCGGAAGCTTCAAAACCAGAGAAACTGAAACGAGACGCCATTGAAGACGACTTCGATGCAGCTCTCTCCGAGTTCGGTCTTCAATTCTCTCTCTCTCTCTCTCTCTCTTGCACGTTTTCTTCATTTACTTGCTGCGATTTTTGAAATTTGCTGAAAAGTATTTTTTGGAATTTTCAGTGACATCAAAGGAATTGTGTCCACTCTGCAACTGATCAGAGAGAAAGCTCAGAAAGATGGACAGAAGAAGAATGAAGAGACCATTTCAAGGTGAATTTCACAGATCCGAAACGAATTCACATTATACATGCAAAAAACGAAATCTATTTAGTGTTTTACAGTTCATTAGGAGTTGAATTTGAGTTATTTTCTTCCATATATAACTTCTTTGGAGAATTTGTATGTGATAGATTGCATCTCGTACATGATTATATACATGCATGTGTTGAACATTGAATCTGCATCTGACGATATGTATTTGGATCAGTAACTAAAAAATTGTGAAAGTTGAATGTATGTATCTCCCAATCATAATTGACACTTGTTTGCAAATTACTTTGTTGGTTCATTTGTGATTCGTAATGACAATGATGTTTTCTGAATTTCTCAAGTCTCAATAAATTCAACATGATATATTTGATGCATCACAAATATCACAAATATAGTTTTCTTTGACATATAGATATGTTCATAGCATATAGTTTTCTTGGGCAGTTATAATTAGAGATGTTCAATTATTGTGTGTGTAAATAATCCAATACCTGACCTAAAAAAGTAAAAAACGCAACACTTGGATTGCCAAAAAAAGGCTACAGTCTCAGTTTATTGTTGGGGTAACTGAAATTTTGGACCTACATAATGGACACCAACTTGAGTGTTGGTGTATGATGGATCCAATTTGTGAATGCCCAGAAAAGGATAAGGCACTTTTCTTGTTTTAATTTGGTTCCCAAACAAATTATGCCACAAAAGGGCATGCCTGAAAAAGGAAAGAAGTAAATGATTAAATAGGTAGGAATTGGGAAGCATTTGGATAAATATAATCTCTTAGTTTTTGAAGAAATGGAAATTATGATCGTTTTGGCAAGAGAAAATGACTAGTGAATTAAGGTACTCCTGTGGGCCCCAAACCACGGTTTAGGAAATCAAAATTGTCAAGAAACTAAATTCTTGTAGATAAGAGATGACAAGATGAAAAGACTTAAAATAGTTATACCATTGTTAATTTTTGCTTCAGCCTATTTGTTGGAAGCTTTTGGACTGTCTGTTTGGATGATTTATGAGTGTTTAGTAGTACATCTGATTATAATGAAATGGTTTGTTTGTTTGTGCTGTAGAGATGCATCCTTGACATTGATGTCCAAGGGGCAAGGTCTGTGAGCGAAAGTTCTCTTGAAGCCATTTTTATCTTTATCTGCCCACCATCATTTGAGGAGCTTGAGAAGTGCCTTCGTGACAGGTGTGACCTAAAGCTTGAGATTGAGAACCCATCTAACTTTTGCATTCCCTTATGGTTGCTGAGTTCTTAATTTTTTATTTTTTGTTTTTTCTCAGGAGGACCGAGACAGAAGAACAGATCCAAAAGAGACTCCGAAATGCTAGGGCAGAGCTTCAGCAAGGACAATCACCAGGCCTCTTTGAACATATCTTGGTAAACGATGATCTTGAGACTTGCTATGAGAGTCTTAAGGTGATTATCAATTCTTTGCGTAGCAGTCATTAATAATTTCTTTGGTTTCCTTACCGGGAATTTCATTCAACTTCACAGTGCTTATTGATTATGTTTCATTTAATGCAGAAAGTCCTAGGTCTTGATGGAATCGCTGGTACTACCCCTAAACCAAGTAGTCCTCCAACATATCTTCATTTGGTTATCATATGTTTTCCATGCTTTTTGATTTTGTCTCTTTGTCTAAAAATTGATAGAATTTGAAAATGCCAATCCAGTGCCAAAATTTGTCGATCTGCCTGTGGACCGGTCAGTGTCAAAGATGGATAAAAAAATCCGTATAAATTGTCGATCTGCAGAACTGGAAAACGCTTCAGAACAGTTGTAAGAATCTTATACCTATCTTTTGCTTAAGGTGTATATTGAAACCTAATTATAATTTTAAATTCTCATATGCCTATTATTATTATTTGGGGTTGAGCAGATTTGTACTTGATCTATCTTCACTTAATTCCCATATTTTGTAGTCTTGATATTGAATATTTTTTACTTTTAAGTGCTTGTTCTATATAGGTACATGATTTCTGTTTCTGTTTGATTTTGCAGAGTGAGAGGTCAAATGATATGTTTTGTGATGACATTTTTGGAGAGTCACCTGCTGGAGTTCGTAAAACAGTAAGTCTTGTGCTTAATTTTTTTTTTTAACATTGGATCATATGAAAATCAAGGTACGGAAATCTTGAGACATATCCAATGGCTGTAGATATTTTAGAGTAAGCGGATATGCACATTTGAAAACAAAAGATCCTTTGTCGTGTACTTTCTCAACTTAGAATGATTGTTCAAAAATTTTCAATAGGTTGCATTCTTTCCCAAACTCAAGCAATAATGATTTGGTAAGTAAATTTTGGATATGAGATTCTACCCTCACACATGCTCTTAACACTTCAAAGGGTCCCAAGATCTCAACCCTTAATTCTATTAGTGGGACAGGTGTCACGCCCATCTCCTTTACTGTAGAAGATCACTCTAGAGGAATCACTCTAGAGGATCTTGACGCCACTACCCTAACTTCAGTGGGCCTTGGTCTAATGGGCAGGCCTATCCTTTGAAGTCATAAAAGAAAAATGAAATAAATAAATAAAATAATAATAATAATAAAGCTTATCCAAATTTGAAAATATAGGTGACCCTATCATATAACATGGGTTTTTTTTTTTTTTTAATTTTTTGAAAAAAAAAAAATTTTA